ATGATTTCTATAAATTACTGCGGTCATCACCTTGGTGAACAGTAATCTCACCTTTAGATTGTCCCCCTTGCTTGAGTTTTAACCATGCATTTCTTTACTGTTACCCTGTGCCTGACACTGAACTCTGTATCTCCGCATGTCTTATCTCTGTTATCAGAATGTGAGGTAATCTGGAGGTGAATCTTCTGGCAATGCCTCAGTTGCTTGGAAGTGAGTTACTGAGGTATGGGCATGCTGTAGTTGTCTAAAAGTGAACGCATATCAAACAGAGTACCATGTGCTAAAGGATGAAGGCTGTAGTCTGACAAACCCAGGTTTGGATTACACCTGAAATACTTAACAGTTATGTGACCAAGACTAATTAATGAAATTTTCGAAGCCTTAGCTTCCTCGTGTGTACAATAAGGCTAATAATAGCCCCTACCTTGTGGTTTATTGTGCTCCATACTGTGCATGTCAAATAGTAAGCACTCAATAAATATTAGCTATTGCAAAATCGTAGCAGTTCAGAAATTCTGTGCTGTAAGAATCAGGAATTTCCTCAAGTGGGCTTTAAAAATAAGAAACACCTTATCTAATGGGACAGGAATCTAGAAGTAAGCCAGGCTCCAGTCTCGGTGCAATCAGATCTTCAGTTTTGTCTTGGCAATGCTCTTGGCCTTCTTCTTTTTTTTTTTTTTTTTTTTTTTTGCGAGAGAGAGAATGAGAGAGAGCACCAGAGGGAGGAGGGTCAGAGGGAGAAGCAGACTCCCTGCCGAGCAGGGAGCCTGATGCGGGACTCGATCCCGGGACTCCAGGATCATGACCTGAGCCGAAGGCAGTCGCTTAACCGACTGAGCCACCCAGGCGCCCCTCTTGGCCTTCTTTTTTGGGTGAGTTTCATCCTCAGGCTGGCTCCCCTGGTGGTTGCAAAATAGCTGCCAGCAACAACTAGGAGAGCCCTCTCCTTTGTTCAGCTTCAGCAGAGGAGGTAGGAGATAAAAGTGATTCCTCAGCCATGAAATGAAACTTCTCCCTGCCGTCTGACTGGGAATAGCTTGAGTTCTCTGCCCAGCCAGTGTGGCATGATGGCAGTCACCAGGTACCCTGATTATTTTAAGCCTGGTTTCCCAGGCTCATTTCTTGTAAGGGGGAAGAGACTTTCATGATGGCCCATGCCAGTAAGGATCTCACCCTGGAGCTGAAGATGGAGGTAATCTTTTCCTGGGTCACATGAGCTGGAGGCAGAAGGGTGGCTGCATAAACCAAGTTGGAGTTCTATTGGGATAACTGAGAGGAATGATGGGGTCTCTCAGTCTGCGTTCCATGAGGACAGAAATGGTACACTAAACTGTGTCATGTAATCGAGTTCTAATGATAAAGGTGAGAGCAGGGTGTTTGTTTTAGTTAGCAACAGACAGGAGCTCTTCCCATCCCTCAGCCTGAAGGAAGAGGGAGAGAAGTAGGGCTAGAACTACATCATTTCTATTTTTTCTACAATGAATGTGTACAGTTTTTATAATAAGAGAAGGTGATAAGTTATTTTGTAGAGGCTATTTTCATTTGTTGAATCACTGTGTTAATTTTCTATGAAATGTATGTGTGTGTGTACATATATACCAACTTATTCAGTACTGTATTTGATCCTTTTATTATTTTTGATTTTTTTTTATTTTAAAGATTTTATTTATTTATTTGAGAGAGAGAGAGAGAGCACATGAGAGGGGGGAGGGTCAGAGGGAGAAGCAGACTCCCCGCCAAGCAGGGAGCCCGATGCGGGACTCGATCCTGGGACTCCAGGATCATGACCTGAGCCGAATGCAGCTGCTTAACCGACTGAGCCACCCAGGTGCCCCGATCCTTTTATTTTTTTAAAAGATTCATTTATTTATTTTGGAGAGAGAGAGAGGGAGAGCTTGTGCGAGCGGGGAGAGGGGCAGAGGCAGAGGGAGAGAGAGAGAGAGAGAATCCTGAATCAGACTCCCCACTGAGCATGGAGCCTGACACTGGCCTGATCCCAGGAACCCCAGATCAGGACCTGAGCCAAAATCAAGAGTCAGACGCTTAACCAACTGAGCCACCCAGGCACCCCTATATTTGATCCTTTCAAAGATAGATGGCCCTGAGATAATTAGGAAAAACTTTTTTCTATTTAGCTAATAAGGGAAATAAAAGTGCCTAATGCTGTTCTAAGAGACATTTTTTTTCTGGACATTGTTAATATTATTTAAAATCACCAGTTACAACTTAAGCTTCAATTATGTTTAAAGTTCACGGAAGTGCTGGATGATTTTTATGGGCCAGCAATGGGACAGCAAGATGAAAAAGATAATGCAATTATCTTTGAAGGGCTCACAAAAATGTGAACACAGATGTAAATGTGCACATACACATACATGGCTGAACTGGGAATGGGATGAGCATTCCAGAGTCAGGGGAAAAGTCAGAGCACGGAATGGCATCTGAGTGAAACTTGAAGGCCGAGTAAGCTCATGATACTACTGCATACTCAGCATACATGATGTGTGCAGGAGATGCTGTTAAGTTTGGTGAGGACTTGAGCACATAGGAAGGTGTCGAATGAGATGGGCCTGTATTGTCATGTTGCAAAGTTGGGTGTAAGCTCTGTACCCAGTGAAGAGGCATTACCAGGCTTTACTCACCAAATTAAATGATCACACAGATTGTCGTTACAGAAAGAAAATTCTAATGGCACTAAAGGAGGAAACTGGGGGCAGATAATGTTTTCAGGAGGCTCTCTGAGATGGAGAGAGCAAAAGGCCTGAATCAGGATCCTGGGATGAGATAATGTGGTAAAGGGGACCCATCTGAAAGATGTTTCTTGGTGAGCAAACAGACTTGATAAATAAGGGCACCCGAGAAATTAAGGGTGCACTGCTTTCCCACTCAATCAATGCTTCCTAAGAGATGTCCTTCACATATGGTCAGCTGTCACCTATCCGTTTATATCCTCCGGACTTCTGTCTTCAGGATTGATGTACATCATCCAGCATCTACCCGTTATAATCACCTGGCTGTCCCATAAGCATTTCAAAGTCAACAGATTGGATTAAAGCAGAAATTATAAACTTCCCTTCTAAATACACTCTGTTACTCAAAAGGAGTCTCCATGAGTCTTTCATTTGCCTCCATCCTTGCACTTAATCAACAGGTCTGGCTGACATTCACCCCTGAAATATATTTTTCCAAATCTTCCCTTGTTTTTCTGTCAATACCATTGCTATCTCTGAGTCATCCATTTACTTAAACACCCTCGTTCTTTTATTCCATCCAATTCATCCAAACCTCCTTCCAGTTTTGTCTCCTAAAATTCATTTTACTTCTGCCTTGATGGTTCAGGCCATCGCCATTGCTAGCTATTATTAAAATAATAAAATATAATTAGAATAATGCTTTGTAATTTCCTCACTAGTTGAGTTCCTCAGCAAATTTCACCTAGCCTATTAAGGCATCTATCACCAGCTCCTCCGCTTCTCATTCAGGCCATCTTCCATCTTCCACCACCCCTACTTCCCTCCCCCTCAGCGGGCCATCTAAAACACAATCTGCCCACACCACACCTCTGCTTACCACCTTTCACTGTCTGTCACCAACACTAGGCCAAGATTTGTAGCAGGGCTGACAATGTTCTTAAAGCCTCCACCTCCTTCTCCCCACCAAGTCCCACTGCTCTTGGTTTCACTAAGTAGTTTCTAATTACATACATTAGCATAACCATAAATACAAGTTTCCAAAATCAAGGCTATTTAGTCATTTCCTGTTCTTTTATGCACAACCTGTGGTTCTTCAATACCTCTAATTATTGAATTAGAATATATTACCACATTCTGTACAGAGCACACAGTAGTCCAGTATTCTGGGATAATGATAATTACAAATGTAGTTCTAGAATTCTGTATTAAGATCCTGAAACTTTAATGGCATTTCCACAATTGAATTATGGCACAAGCCCTATGGTTCAAGTTTATCTGGTTTAGTTTTCACCCTGGTAAATAATAATAGCAATAATAATGATGACGATAGCTACCATGTATTGAGGACCAGCAATGCCCCAGCTGTCGGTAAACACAGTTGACTCAAACAGTGCAGGGGTTGGGGCACCAAGCCTCATGCAGTTGAAAATCTGTGTGTAACTTTTGACTCCCTAAAAATTCAACTGCTAGTAGCTTAGTGTTGACTGGAAGACTTATCAGTAACATAACAAGTTGACTGGCACATATTTTGTATATTATATGTGTTACATACCTTTCATTAAAGTAAGCTGGAGGAAGGAAAATATTATTAAGAAAATCAGAAAGGGGGCACTTGGGTGGCTGAGTCAGTTAAGTGTCTGCCTTTGGCTTGGGTCATGTTCCCAGAATCCCAGGATCGAGCCCCACAACAGGCTCCCCGCTCTGCAGGGTGTCTGCTTCTCCTTTCACCCTCCCTCTTCTCCTGCTCTCTCTCTCTCTCTCACTCTCTCAAATAAATAAATAAAATCTTTAAAAAGAAAATCAGAAAGAAGAGAAAATGCATTTACAGTGCTCTACTGTATTTATAAAAAAAAAAAATCCACAGGTAAGTGGATCCATGCAATTCAAACTCATGTTGTCTAAGGATCAACTATACTTTATATTATCTCTACAACTCTCAAAGTATGTATTATTGTCTCCATTTTACAGATGAACAGACTAAGCCCCAAAGAACCTCAGGTTCTTCCCCAAAACAGTAATGCCAAAATGAGGATTCAACCCCAAATCTCTCTGATTCCAAGGCTCATTCTCTTGGCTACTATGAGACAATATTTAACAAAAGTTTATGAAATCAATAAATAAGTACATTAATTATAATAACAAAGTATATTAATTTATTTTTACCTATTTTTGTTGAACAGTTGGCCAATGCTTAATCACTTACAGTAATGTTCAAAGGATAGCAACATAATATCTGTAACTTTGCACTTGGCTGTAGAATTCCCACTTAAATTAATTGCATGTCAAAAAAGCCAACCTTAAACATACCTGAGTGTCTGCCTGTATTGATCCTCAGGTAAGCTTCTGGCCATTATAAACCTCTTCAGGGAAGACTGGGTCAACTGCTCTCCCCCCATGCACATTAGGTCAGAACCCCCTCCTTGTACAATGTTGCAACCCTTGGTCTTCTCCCAATATACAATTTTTTAAGATTATAATCCAGTAAATTTTTCTATAATTATTTCTTCAGGAATATCTCCCACAGAGAGGAGGGAACTGGTCTGCCTTCTTCTCTTTGTCTCCTCTCATCTAGCCCTATGCCTGGCACAGTACATTTGCTTTGCATCTATCAGATGAGCAAATGCATGCACGAAAATGGTGAGGAATACAGATATGTGAAAATCCTTTCAATGTTAGGAGTCATCAAACATGGATCACAGGTACTGAGGAATGGGAGCTGTTGAGAGAGGTAAATATTCAATTTCAGAGTGCCATGATAGGTATAAACAATAATTAGCAGGAAGTACAGTGCCTAACCCAGTGTGTTGCCAATAGCAGTCTTATGATGGAAATGTAAATAATTTGATTACGGTCCGTTCCTAGTTATATGAGCTTGTTCTTTAATGGCTTGACTAAACGATTCAGAAAGTTCTCCTGATAATAAGCACATATTTTTTCACTTACCGCTTTGTAGATAAAAACATTAACTACATTTAAGCTTTCTCAAAGACACCGTTCGCATTGCTCTCTCGTATAACTTAAATATCTCTGCGCTCATGACATAAAGGGCCTTTGCAGTCACAACCTTCTATCGTACAGTTTCTGGTTTGGCTCATGTATAAAATGAAACTAGGGGGTGCCTGGGTGGCTCAGTAGTTAAGCGTCTGCCTTCGGCTCAGGTCATGATCCCAGGGTCCTGGGATCGAGTCCCGCATCGGGCTCCCTGCTCGGCGAGGAGCCTGCTTCTCCCTCTCCCCCTCCCGCTGCTTGTGTTCCTGCTCTCGCTATCTCTGTCTCTGTCAAATAAATAAATAAAATCTTTAAAAAATAAAATAAAATAGAATAAAATAAAATAAAACAAAATAAAATGAAACTAGGGAGGAGAGTGTGATCCAAAATTACACAGGGGGTATGACATTTTCTATCTAAATGGTGTCCTAGTTCAATATCTGACTGGGAAGAATGGCACAGGTACAGCAGACCTCACTTTGTTTCAAAAACCAGCCAGTCAGAAATTGAAACAAGTCTCATGGAATCCAGTAACTTATTTTTTTAACTGGTACCTTTTTATCATGATGTAGAAACCGATGATTATAGGGGGGAAAAAAATTGTGAAGAACATGAGCTTCTCATGTAGAAAATTTATTGCTACAGTCAAAACCATAAAATTATGTGTATGATCTACAACAAGGCAATTGCTTCCCAGGGCCACAGGTGGTTTATCTTTATAATGTCTGATTGCCTTTTGTGGTAGCCAGACTCCCAGACGACCTCCAGTGATCTTCACCTATTGGAGTTCACACCCATATAGAGCCCCCTGTCATATCACACCAGGGCAGGTCTGTGACCAACAGCATTCAACAGAAGTAATGGTATGTTCCTTCTGAGATTAGGTTATTAGATGATGATGCCTCTTCTCCTTCTTAGAAAAGCTGCTTCCAGATTCCAGACCCGCAGAAATTGTGAGATAATAAATGGTTTAAGCTGCTAAGGTTAAGCATAATTTCGTACACAGCACATATCTCAGAAAATCCTTAGGAGGGTAAAGTAAGAGAAAGTGCTTAGAAAAATGATCATAAAAGTGCTATCCGACAGCCAACACATCATCATGGCTAATCCCACCTCCCACTAACTCTAATAGTAGACACAGTGTCTCAAGTGTCTGAAGAGAGATTTCAGTGTCACAAATTCAGCTATGAATATGTTCTCCTCAAATTTCCTAAAATAAAAGAAATATCACAAGCTGTGTCCACTACTTTGGACAAACTAAAATTTACTTTGTTCTGCTTTCACAATGAAAATTAAACTATAGTGATTTGTTTTTATAAGAAATTTTTTTATGTTTATTTTTCCTCAATAAAGAGATAGTACTCTTTAGCACTAAGAAGATAATCCTGATGGAATAAAAAAAAATACTAACATTCCATTCATAATTTTAGCATTCACTTTAAAATCGATACAGTGTGTGACCATCACATATGTATACCCAGAGATATCCCCCAAGAAATGCTTATCTTTTAAAGCTAACATCTTGGCATTGTTCTTCCAAACTGAAACTGGTGATATCCCCAGTAGCCAGCCTGTAGGAAAAAAAGAAAAAGGAAACAAACATACGATTATCTAAAGTAACTTTAGGATGAAAAATTGTGATAACAATTAATGCTTTATGGCTTTAAATTCTAGGATTAATATATTTCAGAAATGATTTAAACTCCAGGATTAATATAATTCTGAAAATAGTTTAAAGAAAACTATTTCTGGCAATAGATGGTCTACTACAATATTATGCTTCATTTATGACTCATTTTCCACATGAAAAAAAGTTTTAACAAATCCATTTAGAAGAAGCAAATTGTAATAAATAAACCAAAGAAATGCAAGTGCTTTATAAAGCTGTAAAATATCATATAAATAACAGGTATTATAATATTGGCAATGTTATTATGAAAGCAAACCATAAAATGGCATTTGGAGAAAAACATGGACAGTGAGACAAATAAAAGCTACATAAAAGAACGAGGGAGGAAATTTAGACTCAGTCGTGTCAGGAGCAATGTGCTTCTTAACCACTGAAAAAAAGCATTTCCATTAGAAGGACAGATTTAAGTGGTTTAACATTGGAAGACCATAATCTTCTGAAGGACGGAAATCTATGAATAGATCTGTGAATAATAAAGGAATTGAAAATAGAATAAGGGGCAGAGGGAGGACAAGGAGGAGAAAAATGAGTAAAAGGATGCTTCTTAACAATATGATTTGAATTTAAAACTTAGAACGTTTGCTTTTATAAAAATCTGAGTGTATTAGCTTATAATAATTAGCATCTTCAATTGCAAGGAAGATATAAAAGGACTATTAGGGAAAAAAAAGAACACACCATCTTGAAGACAATAAATTTTTCTCTGATTCAAAAGGGGAGCTTCTTACAGACCAGGAGCAGCTGTATGTACATCTTTCAAAGGGCATTCTTCTGAAAGAATTTAGATCAGACAGTCCATTCATTTTTGGTAATAAAAAAAAATATATCTGTGAGATGATATTTGTTCTCTATTTGACCTTCTTTTCCAATCTTACCATCATTTAAGAACTCTGCACAATAAAAAGAATGATCTCTTCTGTTTAAAAAAGTTAAATTTTTAATTTCATAAGCTCTTCAAGCCTTTCAAAGAATTGTTAGAAATACTCCTTATCTAAAAAAGAAAAATCAGTTTTTTGACTTTCCAGTTTTATTTTTCACTCAAGGAAATGAATTCTTCTTTTGGCAATAATTGCTAATAGAGTATTTCCTTTCTGTAAAGGCAACTTTTGAACTGTGTTTTCTGGGAATTGTGTGATTTATTTTTATTAATTTCTGGGAATAAAATACATTACTATAAACTTCTTTAGGTTTGGGGAAAAAAATACCTAAAAATAATATTTACTTCCTGAGAATATAGTTTTTCCCTTTTTGATATAGCAAAATTCTATTACCCTCAGACTCTTACTGGTTTTCTATATCTGGTTATATTCATCTTTGATTTTATATGTGTTAAAATTATTATTTTCTAGCTTGTTTTTACAAATCACCATGTTTATAATATGTCTGAATCCCCTTCCATATTTCATATAGTTTAGAAAAACAACAGGCTTTTCTAGGATTTGAATATTTTGTGATCACATTATTTTTCATGTGCATCAGGTTAGCATAACCTGGAAAAAAGGATCTAATTAGAAGGAAATTGCAAGACAAGAGGGTCCAAACAGAGCAATCTAACCCATCAAGTGCAGATGCATAAAGGTTTTATAGTTCTTCACTCTCATCATTCCAGCCAGGCCTACAGCTTTCCAGCTATCCTACCTAATGCAATGGCTTGAATTGTCTACTTTACTGTCCAAATGATTGGCTACTTACCAAACCACAACCTTGCTTTAGAAAGAACTTCTTAAGTGAAGTGGGGAGTTAAGACAATTATTGGGATAATTCAGGGCAAAAGAAATGCACTGAGAAAAACCTGCCTTTTTTTTTTTTTTTTTTTAACACATAAGTCTCCCAGAGAATATATTAGCCAATCATGGTCTCCATGTAAGTTGTTAGTTCTGTAAAAAGAAAATTTATTGTATGATTTTTTAAATTTTAATTCATATAATAGAGCTTACTCTATGCTTACATGTTAATATAAATCCTCACAATTATCTATGAGGTAAGAACTATTATTATCACCCCACTCCTTCACCAAATAGTAGTGGTGGTCACAAATGGGCCATCTGATGCTCATCCTTCTTGGCACACGGTAAGTTAGGAACAAATGAATGACTTCTTTAGTCAAAGAAATGTGTGCAAAAGTAGTCTCTGTGATTTTCATGAAAAAAATTTAAGTGTTCATGTATGATCCTCAGTGTCCCTTTCACTGCCTTAATAATCCTGGAAGCTCTTATCAGGATGGTATTTTCACTAACCTGAATCCCAGAGTGATTACCATGAGTAAAGGCCCCCTGAAGAACAGCTTAAACATATAGAATAATTATGGGAGGAAAATGTTTTCTGTGGAGTTACAGGAATTTGGAGACTTGTTTGTTGCTGCACATAACCTAGCTCTTTCTGACTGATACACCAGTTATTTCTTGCAACTTCCCATTGTTAGTGTGGAACACATAAGGCTAATTTTGCTTGTTTTAAAAAAAGGTTGGAAGAGAGGTAATGAGCAAGGAAGGAAGAAAAAGGGAGGGAGAAATGCCTTTATGATGCTTCTGCTTCTTCTCACCTTTTCCTTCTTTCATTTTCCATCTTCCTATGATAAATCCTGAGCCCTAAAATGGAATTTTATTGACTCAGGGGCAGGAGTGGAGAGAGTTTGTTTCTGGATATGGAAAAGAAACATGGAGTCTTCCTATTTAGGACTCAATAGAAATATTCTTATTTGTTATGTTAGAAATATGATGAGAAAAAGCAGCTGACTCTAGAATATCAAATATCTTCTCTTTCCTACTATCAAAAACTCTGAGGAATTAGCTTGCAC